TTTGACTTTAAGTTTCTTCTGATAAATACTGATCACCTTTCAACATAATAATGAAAATAAGAATTTCTTACAGCTACCTCTGTCATAGAGGTGTAACTTCACAAATAGCCTGAAATATGTTTTCTATTTCTCTCATCCCTTAGAACACAAGGAAGAACACCAAATCGAAAAGTAACAGACTATTACCCAGTTAGAAGAAGTTCCAGGAAGAGCAAATCTGAATTGGAGGTAGTGTTTCTTGTTAAAATAACATTACTTGTAATATTGCTGGTTAATGGAACACTTGAGAAAGGATGTAACTGTCTGTAAATGGTATCCACTGGCCAAATACAAACAGTGTTGTGGTGAAAGTATTGTAGAGAACAGAAAACATGGAAATGCTGATCCAGTTCTTCTAGGACAGAATCTAGATGCTTGTGTATTTTGGCGGGCAGAAATCTGTCTCTTTGCCATTCAGTTTTGCTAAAGATATGGGATGGTTTGGAAAAACTAGTGGATGTTGTCTTTTCAGCTCTAGAATGAACTACAAAAGCTATCAACTATACTATGGTTTTGTTTGTTCTTGTTTCTTCTGCAGACTGAGGAGAGGAGGAAAATAGATGAGCTAATTACAAGTGGAAAAGAAGAAGGAATGAAGGTAACTACAGTATGTTGCTGTTAATCTGTTTCAGCAGAAAATAGCAGAACTCCTTCTCGGAGCTGCTGCAGTTCCTTGGTAGCGAGATGAAAGTGCAGCAAAACTGAAGCACAGTGTCTTCCTTTCTGGATGGGTGATACTTGTCTCTGAAGAATATGTGCAGCCTCAGTCATAAATATATTGAGAGGGCTTTATAGTCTTTACTGAAAATGCACTCGCTGCCTTTGGTATCTCATTTCTTGGGTTTGTTTCTAGAAATGGGTTTGATACAGCATCTTAGTTGTCATGTTTACACACTCTGTATGGTAACAAATTCTCTTAGCACATTGACAGCCAGTTGTTGTGGGTCTTCATTTTGGCTCTTGATAATAGCAAGGGCAGGAATAGTGAAGTACACTGGTGGATGATCTTTCTGTTCCTCTAACTTGTTAACCTGTGTATGATGATGGTGCTGCTGAAATGAACAAGCTGCCTCAGCTAATGGTTAGTTCAAAAGAAAAATAACTCTGTATATGGTTTACTTAAAGTGTCTCTTAGTTCTTTGATTAGAAGACTTTGTATCAAAACACTTGGGAACTCAACGTGTAACACATTTCTTCCTGTATTTCCTATTTTAATTCCTGTATTCCCAAATTTCTTCCACAGTGCTGTGCACTGTGCTTCTGTGGCTTTGTCTGCAATACCCTGTGGTAGCAATTTTGACTGACAAATCCCTCACTCCCTAGTAAACAGCCTATTTGCAATCGTGTAAATACTCTCTAATTTCCCAGCTGATTTTCTTTTCAACTTGACAGATTGATTACATCGATGGCAAAGGGAGAGGAGTAATTGCTACTAAAGAATTTAATCGAGGAGAATTTGTAGTTGAATATCATGGGGATCTCATAGAGATCACAGATGCTAAAAAGCGAGAAGCGGTGTATGCTCAAGACCCATCCACTGGCTGCTATATGTACTATTTTCAGTACCTCAGCAAAACGTACTGGTAAGCTTCTCTTTCCTGAAGTGTGATAGTTGAGTGATTAGAGGCTTTGAATGCTGTGAAGTCTTCTTGGTTTCATGCAAAAAAAACCCAAAACAACCAGGAACCATGGATTAGGAAGTCTTTGGGTGCTGTTTCATGGTCCAAGAGCATTCTGTATCTCTGGGCTGAAAGGAATAGGAGGTGACTCAGAGACCTGTTCTCTGAAGTACAGCACAAGCTATAGGGAGAGCTATATCTGCTTGGATGAGACTTCCATCTCTGCCATGGACTTCTGCCGAAATTTATTCTCTGTAAAATTAACTACTTTTCCAGAGTTGCAAGGAGCTTGTTTGAAAAGCAGCGTGGACAAACTCTGGAAGAGAAAGATGTCCTTGAGCTGTTTGTGACTGAGTCTTCTCCTTTCTCTAGTGCCTGATACCCATCCCATGTGTGTGTTTTATCCCTCTTGCTGTTTCATTTGCCCCAGACTCCAGTTCTCTCAAAGCAACTACTCAGACTGTTCTTTCTTCTTGGGCTGATGTTACTGGTGTGGGTCACTAAACCCGTGTATTAATTATTTGGCAGTACCCTATGTTCTAAGTACCTGGCTTGTAGTCTATAATGATAGCTGTAAAGAAGGGCACTAAAGATTTGGTTTCCAGTCCCTTGAAGGCTGGGCATCTAGTATTTAGACATTCACAGCCTTCTATGTGAGTAGAGACTCTTGCTGGCTTTACTCAGCTTGGACACAGCTTTCCTAAGGAGAGGGTGTTTAAGGTGTTTCTGGTGGTGTGAACAGTTGAGAGCTGCTTGGAAACAGGCAGCTCAAAGACACAGTCCATAGTTTTTGATTTTTCAGGGTTTTGTGCTAACTTAAACATTTCTGGGAGCTTACCTACATGCCATATTATGTGCAGTCTGTTTAATCATATAAATATATTCTGTTTTTCTTTTATTGTTTCAAGCCTTGTGTGGATTCCTCATTCTTTATCTGATCTGCACTTTGGGTTTTGGCCACATCATGACTGTGTGATATGCAGCAATCCTGCATTCTGTTCTTGTTCTTTCAGTGTTGATGCTACAAAAGAAACTAATCGCTTGGGAAGACTGATTAATCACAGCAAATGTGGCAATTGTCAAACAAAGCTTCATGACATTGATGGCGTGCCTCATCTCATACTCATAGCTTCCAGAGACATTAAAGCAGGTGAAGAACTGTTGTACGACTATGGAGACAGAAGCAAAGCTTCCATAGAAGCTCATCCATGGCTGAAACACTAATTCTTCATCTTAGTTTGGGTTTTTTTTCCTTTTGGACTGAATGGGTCCACTGGCTCTAGAAGGAGTTAGTGGATGGCTTTTTCCCCCCCCCATCCTCACTTCCCTCAGCTTTCTTAGTGGACTGCTTATGGTGTTCCAAGCTCCTAAAAGGCTACCTTTTTGCTTTGCAGTATTTAAATACCTATTACAGTTTTCCAGGCAGGCTTGAATAATTGATCTTAGATTGCCAAACCTTTTTATATCACAAAAGGAAACCCTTCCTAAAATTTTGAGTACTTCTGCATAGTGACCGGTGCCACTTGAGCATGCAGTCAAAGACTTCCACAGAAACTTAACCACTTGGGTTATGCTTCTGCTTTTGCAATGAAATCTCGTGCTCCACTTTGTGGGGTGATGAATTTGGCATTAGCTTTAGGACAGCAGGTGTACTTCTGTACTCTGACTTGTACATCCAGTGGCTACACTGCTTGTCAGACTGCTTCTTACAGCCTGGTGCTGACAGGCCTCTCTGAGATGGATGCTACTATCGTTCTCAAATAAGTTGTGATAAGGGACCCAGTTCTTCCAGTATCTCATGTTGGCAGTCAACTTTAAATGCACTGGTGCTGAGGGGAAATCCATGGTCAAATTGGCTGCTTTCTTTAGAGAAATGACTCCAAGCCAAAGGAGGATGGATTTTAATAGGCTGGGTTGATACTGAATAGAAGTGTGAAGTTCTATCTTCACAGTGAGAATCAATGTTTGACATGACTTGTTTTCCACAATTGAAGAAGGTACCTTTTTATAGCTGATGGCTGGTTCTTGGAGGTGTCTTCCAGAGGATTTTTAAGAAGGAAAAGCTCTCTCCAAAAATTTTTTTATTACTTTCCTATGCTAATTAGCCACATCAGAAGCTATTTATTTACTGTGAATGCTTGAAGTAGAGCATAGCGCTTCCAAAAATAGGAGTCATCTTCATATGCAGCTTCAAACTGTAATAATGGAGTTGATGCAATGAAGAAAGTAGATTCCTTATTGCCTGGTCCTGTAGGTCTGTCAGCATGGTCCCACTGTCTTAAATGGGAGTTGAGTGCTCAGCATCTTGCAGATGTTTGTAACATTACTGTTGGAGAACCAAATCTGTGATATAGGCGGGCAATACAATGCGGGTCCTTTATGTTAAAGATGAATTCTTACCAGTTGGAATTTTTGCCAAGGCAGGCTTGGCATGTGTGTAGATGAAAATGGCTGTGAGCCATCAGCCACGCTTGCTGCTGGAAGGGGTCAGCAAGGGATCTGTGGCTCTGTTAATGTCTTCTATTCCTCACGTCTTGAAGGCTGCTGCTGTTCCAGCTAATGCCCTCTAGGACAATCTTAGATGCTTGCCTATGTGATAGGTCAGACAGCAACAACATCCTGGTTGTATGCTCCAGCAGCAAGAGAGGTGTCTTAGTGATGTATTTTTTAAATTAAAAACTTGAAGACAATGTCTCTGTAAAATAAAGAATATATTTATTATTGATGAAGTGGCTGCTATAGTACCTGTCTCCATTGCAGATCATTAGCATTTTAAAAGAAAGCTGTGAAAATCATTAGCCATTAAATGCTTTATATTATTTACTACTTAATACAAGGTCAGGGCTGGCCTGTGTGTGTGCACCATTTCTGAGGAATTAACTGGAGACCTGTTACCTTACATATGAGTTACAGATAAGCTTCCTTGGCAGACTCATTTGAGTTGGCACTGACACTTCCCTGGTCTCGGTCTCCGGTAGCAGAGACTACAGCAGTGTGTACAGGATCCTCCTGTACTAGAGCACTTCCCTTTAGTCAAAATTGGAATGAAATGTGTTTTTTCTCTTTATTTTATTTAAGCATTTTCCTGTTCTCTATCAGGTTGAATAGCTTAAAGCCTCTGTTCTTCCACATCACTTTTGTAAACGAGAAAGGGGGAAGATCTCTCCCTGTTTTATATAATAGGAAAATTGTCTTCTCTGAAATGCTTAACTGGTAATCAAGTAGCACTGCATTGGAAGATGGTAATAAAGCTGATGTTGCACTGCATATGTATCCTTTACTTTTTTAGAAACTGATACATAGAGATCACATACATACATATATATATATATATATATATATATCAAATACTCCCACTTGTTTTATAAAACACGTCTTAAATGGTAAACTGGAAAGAATAATTTCAGCGTTCATTACTGTCTCCTTCCCCTAACTGCAGAGTGGCCTGAGGCTACAGCAGAGTGTTCTGTGCCTCTGTGGAAGGCTGTTACTTTTGCACAGCTCTGTGTAATTTGTGCAGTTTATTACCTGAAGTTGTTTCATGAAGACTTCATAGAGCGATTGGTGTGTTTGGGGACATAATTCCCCCTCCCCTTTTAAAGGAGACTGGAAAGTGCATCCCTGGATAAACCCCAGAAGAGGATGGAGCTCGGAGCATAGGTAAATGTCTCTTTTCAGCTTGGGGGTGTAGCCTGGCTGTTGCTGATGCATGACTGGGTCTCTTTTTCTTTTCTTTCTCTAAGCACAAAGCCTGTGCTAAGGAAATGCAGTAACTTCCTTCCCTGCTTCCATGCTCTAGAAAATACCTGACAGGGACACAGCCAAGGCTTATGAGTATTCTGAAGATGGCAAAATGACTTCAGCAGTTCTGTGCCCCAGCTAAACCAGCTTGTTCAGGTCAGACATCTGTGATGTTGCTTTGCTAATGTACAGTTGCTAACAAATTGTTTTTGAAAGGAGTCCACAGTTCTGCTAAGCCACGTGCACGTTGTGCATCTGAGCAGATGCACAATGATGTGTCCTATATTTTTCATGCTACTCATGTATGAGAGGGAATCAAAAGATTTCAGAGCCTACTTTTACTTCTCAAGAGAGTCAGATTGTGGTTTGATACCTGTCACTGCCCTTTTTATGTCTGTTCAGACTTGTTTGCTCTGGAAATTCTACTCTTCTAAATGTGGAACCTAATTGGTATCTTTCATGTTTCTTTTACTACTCTGTCTCATATGCTTCACTAGGGATAAATGTCATTATTGGGGCTAATACACTGCTTGTGACAGTTGACTGAAAGATCAGAGCTTATAAAAAAATACAGCTGTGTACCACAGGGGCACTGTAGCTGTCAGAAATGGAGTGTTTGGTGCATCTGTTCCAGTTTGAGCGTGTCCACACCTCTGAGAAGACATCAGTGCTTCCTGTGGGCAGAGCATGATGCAGCAGCATTTATTCCCTTACTATGCTCTCTGCTGCTGTCTTCCATCTTGACCCCAAAAAGCCACTCCTGCCTGGGCAGGGGTTTTGTTCTTGCAGCCCAACTTCATCTTCGTTTGGTGAGGTGGGTGTGATAGGCATCTGCTGCCTGTGTATTGCCCATCTGATGTAAAGACACACAACAAAAAGCAGTACTGGGGTTTTCTTCAAGTGGTTCCCTTTGTGTGAAGTAACTTTCTGCATAAGAGCAGTGGAGGCTGCAGCCCAAATGGCTTCCTCTTTCCCAGTACTCCTCTGTGAATGGTGTGCGTCTCTTAACAGTATCTTCCTCCTGCAGGATCAGTTGGGCTGAGCATATTGTTAAGTGGACAGGAAAAATAAGTGGTAGAATGGTTTGGGTTGGAAGGGACCTCAAAGCTCATCCAGTTCCAACCCCCTGCCACGGGCAGGGACACCTTCCACTAGAGCAGGTTGCTCCAAGCCCCTGTGTCCAACCTGGCCTTGAGCACTGCCAGAGGTGGGGTATCCACAGCTTCTCTGGGCACCCTGTGTCAGTGCCTCAGCACCCTCAAAGGGAAGAATTTCTTCTTAATGTCTAACCTAAATCTCCCCTCTGTCAGTTTAAAACCATTCCCCCTTGTCCTATCACTATGTGCCCTTGTAAAAAGTCATCACCACAGGCTCTTTTAATAAGAATAAAAACCACCTTTGTATAAACATTTATTTTCTACATGTGTGAAACATCTGGCAGGAATCTAAGAAATATAAAATGTGTCAAACAGTTTCTAAAAAAGCCAAGTAAAATCTATTCTGACAGAATATTGTACAACATGATTGTGATGAGATCGCTTATTCTTTACAGTAAGCGATGATTTTCCTTCCAGTCATTAACTCCCCCAACACCCTGGTGGCTCTCAGCAGCTCCAGTTCTGCGCAGGAGTGGCTGAGTTCTGGAGGATGCTCATTTTCCATGTTTAAAAGAGAACCTAAAAAAAAAGAGAAACAAAACTACAACAACAAAAAGGAAACAACAATGTACAACTGGAAAAGGAGGAACAGCCCCTGAGGCGGCTCTGTCAATGTGTTCTGCTATTTTGGGGAACTTTAGGGATGCGGCCTGAGCGCGCGGGTACTGCATGTGGCTGCCTTGTCCAGTGAGAGCCTCCAGGGCCAGGCAGCATGTTCCCACAGCACAGGCTGTGTGTGCTAGCAGGGGAGGCCAGGGACACATAGTTTTCCTCTGAAATGCTTATTTTTCCTAGAAAAAAAAAAAGTGAGGCCCCACTGGCCTGGGTGGAGGCTGCATCCTATGGAGTGCTTTTTCCACAGGAAAGGATTTCTCTATCGGGTTTTAATTTTGCAGGGAGAGGAGGAGAAAACAATAAGCAGCCAAGTAGGCTAAAGTTCAGAATTCATCCCTGGATTCACCAAGCATGAAGCTTGCCCTATTCTGCCAGAAAATAACATGCAGACACAAACTTACAGCCGTTTGATGATTGTCTTTTCCTCGCTGTCCTTGCTGGGGCCGGAGCTGCTGCCCCTGGCTTCTTTTTCCAGTTCTTCGGTTTGGTCCTTTCTCTGCTGGATGATCCCACTGGGAAAAGAAGTGGGTTTATTTAGTTAGTTATACTGGCTTTGTGCATAGTATGGTATTGCATCTAAAACCCTGCACAGGATGGGAGCAGCAGCCTGGCCTATTGTAATGAATTGCTTTTATTTTCCCCTAAGTACTGTAACATAGTTTTGCTTAGGCTGTGCTTTTAAAGAGAACACTACAAAGGTAATGAGCTCACTTCTCCACATAGGAAGAATGGCAAATATCATGAGTATCATCATCAGATATCATAAAGAGGAGTGACAGGGAAGTGTAATTGTGTGTCGGATTTGTACAAAAGCCCAAAGATAACAGTAGGGTGCAGAGGCAAATCATGAATTTCTGCATGGGTGAATCTGTGGCACCTTCAGTGCAGCCCTGAAAGCTCCCACTATGTAGCAGGGAACAGATGGGAGATTCCCAGCTTCCCTGCAGGACATCTGCCTGTTCTTCTTGCCATTCTACAGAGAAGTAGATTCCGTCATCTTACTCCATTGCCACTACACTCCTCGGCAAGGTTGTAACTGCCTCTTTTAGGCAAAAGCTTCAGTTCTACCAGGGGCTGTTTCCCTGGCTTGGAATGGGGATAGGTTTTACTGGCTGACACACAACACTGTTTTCACAGTGTGCCAGTTTGCTGTCCTGAGATGACCTCATTTATCTCGAGAGCTGAGTGGACCAATGCTTGTGCCTGCAGTAGCTGAAGGCTGGAAGTAGCAAAGCAACACTCGTCTGGACCTTGGAAGTACAAATACAGGAGAGTATCTGGAAACTGGTGTGACATCAGGCACGGGATGATTCTGGGACAGATTCTCCTCCTAGAGAAATGGGACTATAAGCTGTTTGGAAACTGCAGACCCAGCTTCTACTTAGAGATCGTGATTTGAGGTGCAATCCCCAAACATCAGTCATTTTCAATCATTCTGCGTAAGGACATCAGTTACCTTGTGCTATATACAATTTATTTCCAATATACACAAGCCATTTTAGAACATATAGTTATGCTCTTCCACTGCACAGCTACTCTTTATGGCCATACAGTTATAATTAGGATTTTATGTGCATTTTTAAGGGGAAGATGGTTTTTGGTTTAAGATGTAATCTTGTACACAGAGATAACCATGTAGAATTAGTTGAATTGAAAAGCAGATCTTGAGGTGCACAGCACTGTGGCTTATATCGCTCAAAACCTGAAACATTCATACTGTTAATGTTTAACTTGGCCTGTAACACAGTGTGTAATGTAGCTGGGAAGTCAAAGCATGAAGCCATTGCAGTGGGCACACGGGAAAGGCAGGCAGTGGAGCAGGGGGAACAGTGTGTTGTCATGCTGTGAGAAGTCCTGTTGAGCAGTTTGTAAACTTCTTAGATTTAACTTCTTGGCTTCACCTGCCTGTTACAGACAAGGCAAAGGGTGGGTTATTGTATCTAACAGGGTGTTGCTGAGGCATCTCAACTGAGATCCAATGCACTCAGATGTTTTGTGTCTAGATGAAGTAGCTTCTTGCCCCAAAGAGTTGATAATACAGATGAGGAACAGAGGATGGGGGAGAGCAGCCTTAGGGGGTGAAGGAATCTGTAGCAAGGTCCTTCTTGCATCCCATCCTTGGGCTCAGACTGATTCACTGATTTGGTTTGCTAGACCAAAACCCTGATCAAAAAGTCCTTGTTTGGCACAGTTCAGGTACCTCACACAACCCTCCAGTGGCAGTCTTAAAACAAAAAAAAACCCACAGCTTATATTAAATGATGGTGAAAGAGCTTAATATTCTTTCTAGATCAATCCATACACAGCGTAGGAGCAAAGGAACAGTAGCTAAGCTAACGTCCCCCTTGGTGAGCTGGAGGAGGAAGGAGATTTTGAATAAAGAGATGGAAACCCCCGTGCTCTCTGGTACGTGGCGTTAGACAGGAAGAGTGTGCATACAATTGCTGTCACCGCAGGGGTGAATTCATGTGTGTGAGAACCCAGCTTGTGTGTGGAGTGGGAGTAACTTATAAAGGTTACAGGAGCAGGCAGTGAACTGTGCAGAGTAAGAGGGAGTTGATTTTCAAAGTATGATGCATAGAGACTTTGTTTCCCTGTTTTCCTTTACTCATTCGTAGGGTTTTGGGAGCACAGATGTTTATCACAGCTGGACAGTGCCCAGCCCAATCTGAGTGCTCACACCTGCAATATTAGAATCATAGAATAGTTAGGGTTGGAAAGGACCTTAAGATCATCCAGTTCCAACCCCCCTGCCACGGGCAGGGACACCTCACACTAAACCATCTCACCCAAGGCTTCTTCCAACTTGGCCTTGAACACCGCCAGGGATGGAGCATTCACAACCTCCCTGGGCAACCCATTCCAGTGCCTCACCACCCCAACAGGAAAGAATTTCCTCCTTATATCCAGTCTAAACTTCCCCTGTTTAAGTTTTAACCCATTACCCCTTGTCCTACCACTACAGTCCCTAATGAAGAGTCCCTCCCCAGCCTCCCTATAGCCCCCCTTCAGACACTGGAAGGCTGCTCTGAGGTCTCCACGCAGTCTTCTCTTCTCCAGGCTGAACAGCCCCAGCTTTTTCACCCTATCTTCTGATCTTGTAAGTTTATAAGAATTGTTATTAGTTCTTTTCTGACCTCTTATAGCACTGTAGCTCCTCTTGCACCACCAGAAGCTGAGCTTTCAGCTGGTTACGCTCCTGCAGCACATCTCGCAGCTCCTGCAGTGTGAACCTGGGGCGATTGGGGTCTGTGAGGTCTATGACCATTTTATCTGGTCCAAGGCTTTGCTGTAAAACAAACGGTGGTGGTCATCACCTTGTGACCTATCAAACCCAAGGCACTCATAGAGTAAAACCTCTTAATTTTATGAGCATGCAGTAATTCTTAGAGCTAGTAGGATTTCATCAGAATCCTGATTTTTTCCAAGCAATTAATTAGAGATTTTCCTACTATTTTTGTATTCCCTTGGTGACTGCTTTTCCCAGCCAGCACAGGGCCTGACTGTGACGGGCTCCAACCACAGCTAAAAGCAAAGTCTCTGTCCCAAAGAATTTGCAATCTACTTTGCCAAGAAGCTGCTTTTATCTGCTCTTCTGATGACCAGAAAGGCTGAGCAATCTGTCTAGTATCACAGCAAAACTCTGGCAGAGAGAGGTAACAACTGAATTCTCCTTTCCTCATTTAAGACCTTTGTGGCAATGGCTTTTTGGGTCACAGACACCAGTTTTTCTTTCAGAGAAGCAAAGATTTAGTGTTTGCACCTACGGCAAGCTGGTTTTATGGGACCAGTGCTGCGTGAGAGCTGAGCAACGGTGGATTTGTGTGCTGAAAGCGTGTCTGTGTGTGTGAACTTCACTAGCACAGCACCAAGCAGTTAGTCACAAAAGTGAAACAGAAGTGAGGGATCCACAGTGCTGTGCCTTGCCACAACCCTGAAAATCTCTGCTCAGGAAACGGCTTCAAGACCTCCGAGAAAGACCAGAAGTGAACTTTGAGACTTGTGCTGTGGTAAAGAGCCTGGCAGTCACGGCAGCAGTACTATCTGACCCACCTGGTGTCAGGATGGGTTTCAGGACCTGCACCTGGCCAAGGGGACAGACCACGACCGTGTTGTGCCACCTCGAAGCTGCAGCGCCAGGGCCAAGGCGCCGGTCCATGCAGTGCAGCACGGTGTGTGTAGCACGGTGTGTGTTGGACGGTGTGTGCTGCACGGTGTGTGTTGCACGGTGTGTGCAGCACGCTGCGTGTTGCACGGTGCGTGTTGCACGGTGTGTGTTGCACGGTGTGTTGCACGGTGGGCACCCACCTGCGGGGCGCTCCCCCGGTCCGCCCCTCGCCGCAGCTCCTCCAGCTCCCGCCGCAGGCTGTCCCGCTCCAGGCGCAGCTGCTCCTCGGCGAGGCTGCTCTCGCTCACCAGCGCTTCCAGCATCTCCAGCACCCTCACGATCCTGAACTGCAGCCGGGCCAGGGCGGCGGGCACCCGCGGGCCGGTGCTGAGCTGCAGCAGGTCGCGGCCCACCACGGAGGAGATGTCATAGACATCGCTGGCCGTCAGCTCGAACGGGCTCTTCTGCAGAGCCCTCTCCGGGCCGCCATCCTCTTCCTCCTCCTCCTCCTGCAGCTCCTCCTCCCGGCCCTGCTGCATGCCCGGCCGCTAACCTCCTCCCCGGTGCTCGCCCGGGCCGGGCCGGGCGCTGCTGCCGGCGAGCCCCGCGGGCAGAGCGGCCCCTCCCGCCGGCGCCGGTTTCCATGGAGGAGGCCGCGGCCCGGCCGCGCTTCCCGCCCTGCCCCTTCCCGCCCTGCCCCTTCCCCTCAGGAGACGCCGCCTGCTCGCCCGCCTTCCGCCGCCGGTGAGGGGAAGCTCGGGCCTTCGGCGCCCTCGGTCTGCACTGGGGTGGGCACCGAACCGAGCAGGGAGGGGAATGCACCGGGGGTTCCTTAACGCCACATTCGCCGGGCTCCATGGTGGAGCGGCTCCTGCGCGAGGGACCGGGGGATGGCGGCGGCGCCGCTCCAGACGGGACGGGGAAAGGGGGTAAATGAGCAGCGGCGGGAGCCGGTCCGCTCCGCCCGGCCTCTGACCACAGCAGCAGGGCGAGGGGGCCGGGGGTTCCTTCAGCGGGGTACGGGGTAGGGCCCGCAGGGGAGGGCCGGAGCGGCGGGTCCCCTCAGCCTGGGGCGGATTCAGGCTCTCCGACATGTCAGTTGAGATGAAGTCAAACCACAGCGCCGTTGGGGGTTTATTTAAGTTGGTCCCGCTTTTCGGGAGTTCGGGATGAAAATACCGGTGAGTCTGTATTTTTATGTATTTTATGTGGTTTTCCCCACTAGACGATGAACGACTGGGCGCCCATCGCAAAGGAGTATGACCCGCTCAAAGCCGGGAGCATTGATGGCACAGATGAGGAGCCCCACGACCGTGCCATATGGAGGGCTATGCTGGCACGCTATGTACCCAACAAGGGAGTTACAGGAGACCCTCACCTCACGCTGTTTGTAGCAAGGCTCAATCTTCAGACAACAGAAGACAAGTTAAAGGAGGTGTTTTCCCGCTATGGAGACATCAGAAAGCTCCGTCTGGTTCGAGACCTGGTCACGGGGTTTTCCAAGGGATATGCGTTTATTGAGTACAAAGAGGAGCGAGCCCTCCTGAAGGCCCACAGAGACGCCAACAGGCTGGTTATCGATCAGCATGAGATCTTTGTGGACTTTGAACTGGAAAGAACTCTCAAAGGATGGATTCCTCGCAGGCTTGGAGGTGGTTTTGGAGGCAAAAAAGAATCCGGGCAGCTCCGGTTCGGAGGACGGGACAGACCTTTCCGAAAGCCCATCAATTTGCCAAACATGAAGAGTGATTTCTATGGAGAAAGATCAGCAGAGAAAAGAAACTGGTCTCAGGAGGGATCAAGGGACTGGAGAACAAGGGATCGAGACCACGACAGGAGCAGAGACAAGCGGTGGCCAGAAAGGGAGCGGTCGTGGACTTGGGGTGAAAGCGAGAGGGACTCCAAAGAGGAGAGGAGCAGAGGGAGGGAGAGGAAGGACAGAGACAGGAAGGACAGGGATAGAGACCGGAGCAGGGAAAGAGATTCCAAGAAGCAAAGAGATGATGACAAGCACCGGTAGGTGACAGTGTCTTGGCACTGGGCTGTGTTACCTGCTCTTACATCCACAGCGTTCCAGCTGCAGGGGCTGTGAGCAGTGTTCCCAGACTCCCCTGCTAGAAGCTCTCTATAGTTTGGCTGCTGATGCAGTTAAGGTATGTGTTGAATTGTTCTTCAGAGGAAATAAACTTTTGTAGTCATATTTTTGAACTGGTGAATGCTGTCAGAAAGGCCCCACATGTGTGGGCATCCCTCTGAAACTGAGTGCACACCCCAGCTGATACCCATCTGGCTGCCTTGTTAGGGCTCAGGAGAGAGCTCCCTGTTTAAGTATTTATGTGCCAGATGTCCACAGTCATTCAGTGAGACATGCTTTTGATGAAACAGTCACTTGTTGGAGAAACAGTAATGGAACAGCAACAAACTCAGCTTCTGAGAAATGTGCCCCAAACCAGAAGCTGAGAAGTGATGTTATTTTCTTGAGCACAGGTGAGATCCTGAGTAGTTCTATGTCCTTAACTAGATCTGCAACGTGAGGGAGAAGCAGGTAACAAGAAATTTGGGGGTTTTTGTATCATGGGAGAATGCACTTCCTTTGATTAGAGGAATGTACTCTGCAGAGGAATGTGCACTGCAGAGCAATGAGCAGGTCAGGTTCCTTATCAGTCCATGCACTTGCCTCACTGCGGGTGGTTTCCTGCCTGCACAGGGTTTAAATCCTGCTCTGGAAGTGGGGCTGGCTGCTGCCTGTAGTGGAATTGGGGAAGCAGAGGACAAAGCAGCTCCTTTTTCAGAGCCTGGGTTTGTACAGAGACCCCCATCTTCCACTGAGAAGCGCATGGTGCATTCCAGTAAAGGTGTTCTTGGTCATCATAAGCCATATCCTAAATACTTGCTAATGTATTTTAAACTATATTTTTTTGGTCAGCCTTTGAATGACCCTGTCCTAAACCTTGCCCAGTTTGAGGCTTTATTTCCACAAAGAGTTGGATGAGCTTTTTCAGGGGAGGGAAAACAAACCCATATATTGCATCCCCAACGAGAGACAATATTAACTTCCCACAAGAAAAAGGATTCAGGTCTTGCAGAAATACTCAGTTTTTCAGAAATATTTATTAAACTGTTAAAATGATTTACTGCCCAACCAAAAAAAACAAACCCAAAACCAAAAAACAACCCAACAAAGTCAGTGATCCTGCACGCTGCAGATGGGATGTTGCTGCATCCCTCACCCGACAGGTCCTGGCTCCTCCTCTAAAAGCAGATTTTACTTGAGAAACAATACATAGCAGAGCCTGAAATCTTTACATCCTCTTCCCTACCTGCCATCCTTTCTGATGGCACTTGGAGTGTGTAAACTCAGCATTTCAAACATGAGGATGAGGAGGGAAGTGGTTAACGGCAGCAGGTCAGCTGTAGCTGATTTTGATTCTGAGGTACCAGGCTAGAGATGAGTGGGGGAAGGTTGCACTGCTCAGTGCTGCTGTTGGAGACTGGCTGCAGGTCTGAGGTGGCAGCAGTGCTGTGGTGTACGGGACGAGCTTTACGTGCAGCAGGCCAGTTGTCCTGTGTAATGCACAGCTGAGATGCTGGGACACCAGTTCAGTCTCTGTGTTTCTGTTACCCTAGCTCATTGCTCTCAGCTGATTGTGGAAACAATGTGCTTATTCAGGCCATGTATCTCTTGCATTGTTTATGATTACTGCATCTACTCTAAATGAGCCAAACAACTGTAAACTATGCTAGGGAGAGGCTTGATGGGAATCATTCAATATTTACTTTAACTGCCTGATATAACTGTAGTGTATTTATTTTTTTCTCTAATATGGAAGTGAAATCGAGATCTGAGCAACTTAAGTTGCTAAATGAAGGCATTCCCCCCACTTAAGAACTGCTTTTCACATAAGGGAGGAAGTGCTGCTGTTTTACGACTACATCTTCTGCAAGCATAAAACTTGAGATACGTTACCAAAACATAACCAGGCAAAAACTTACCTGCCTAATCCTAGTGTGAGATGCTACCAACACTATTTCAGATGCAGATGTGTTTCATATTAAGACCATATATCCCCTGCCACACCAGGGTGGCACAGGAGACACTTCACCTAAACATAGGAAAGGTCTGTGTTCGAAATGACAGGGTTATGGTTGGGAGTGAAGCTGCATCCAGCCCACCCTTGCAAAGCATGGTTTCCTGGCACAGTTTCACTCCAGATGGGCTCACACACACTGAAGAATCCAGAGTCTTGGATCACCTTGTATTAAGAACAAGTGGCATGTGCTAAACCCTTGTTTCACTATCACCTAGGAGACCTTTGGGACTCCCTCCTGCATTCAGTACCTGGAGTAGTTGGAGCTTTACTCCAGCCTGAGCGTTGTCTCCTGTTGTTAGTGCCACCCCTGAGAAGAGGCTCTTTACAGAGCAGATGTAGTTGCTGGGGGTGAAGTCCCTTGCATTAAGCTACATGCACAGAAGCTGCCTACAGCCAGCTCCTCACCAAAAGCACGTGCTCCAGCACACAGCCAAGGGCACAGAATAACCCCAGCACCTCTCTCACACAGCCATGGATGTGCTCACCCTCTCCTGCCTGGTTGGGTGCCTTCATGGAGTGTGGTGCAGAGGCAGGGTGAGAGCTGACACCCAGCTGTACTGACAGTTACACCACGTGGGGCTCTAGTGTCATGCTTTTTCTAAGTACAACCTCAGTGAGCCCCAAGGGTCCCACAAGCTCATTTGCAAAGCAGATCTAATTCCCACCTCCCAGCAGTTCAGCTATGCTGGGATTTTACTGGCAAGTTAAGGCCCTATAACCACAGGTTACCCAGACATCAGCCACCACCAGCAGAGCAGCCTGCACGTACAGAAGCAGTGTTGAGATTAGTTAGAGAAAGCATTTTGAGCTGGGGTCATGTCTAAATCAGTTAAAATAGCTCATGTCAGCTTGCTGAGGGTGTCTTTTACTCTCAAGTTAGGCAATCTTATCTACATAGAGAAGTGGAGTGTGACTTCATTAAAAACCTGTCTGTGGGAAAGAAAAGAGATCTAATCCCTTGACAGCAGCTGCCTGCTGCTCTAGGGGAAGTCCCTGGTAAGAAGGAAAGAATTCAAGTGTTTGAATTCCTCCTTGTAAGCAACTTGTTTTCCATTACCACTGCAGGCCTCATGGCAAAACGCAAGGCACGCTCACCTCTTACATCAGTTTCTTCATGCTTTAGGCACTATAAGCAGCAGGGAAATGTATGCGCAGTGTCCCACTCAGGGCTACTCCAGTTTATCTATTTGTGGTGGGTGGATTTCCAAGCGGCTCCCCTGCAGAATGCAGATGTCAGCTGAACGTGACCTGCTGTGGAGTGGCAGCCATGTGTCCCTCTTGAAAAGGTTCTTACCAAAAGAAAAAGCAAACAACCAATAGTGTTAACAATCAGGGTAAAAGAGTCTTTGCCACTAGATATTGTACACTGCAAACAACCTCTAATAATGGCACAGGTCCTTTTTTGGTTTAAAGAAGCTTGTGTTACTGTAGTTAATGCATGACCAAGACCATAGACTTGTTATTCAGCACAAAACAAGTCGTCTAGAAGCTTCGGTGTCCCAAGGCATCAGCGACTGTTCACTACAAAGCTTGGATTCTGTTTCCAGCAAACAGTCACCAAGCAAACAGTGAGGAGTCCCTCTTGAAGCGTCCATCTCAAACACACTGAGGTGCACAAGGCAAATGAAAGTGATGAGCTGCCAGATTTTGGTTACAGAAGCTTCTTGTTACTGGAGTGTCAAGATCTATTGTGGTACACAGAACACCTCAAAGCTTTAGTCACAGGTGCTGCAGGGCTTCTTGTCCTTGCTCAGTGTAGGAGTCATCTTTATGTGAATTTGACCATTCTCCGAAAGTATCCTGGAAGTGGACATTTTTCTGTGATGCCTGCATGCGTTTCTTATCCCGATAGAAGAAACTAAACCTTCCAGGGAGGGAGGGGAGGGAAAAGAAAGAACACCGTTTACCATCTTGAAACCACTTCAAACACCCGCCCCGATACACAGCACAACAAAACAGCAAAGAATCTGTTTGCATTGGCAAAACTCAAGGCAGTGAAGCCCGATGGGGTGCATGTCAGAATGTTATTAGAGATGAAGTCATTGCAGTCTCAAGCAGTTTGGCTATGGAAGCTTCAAATAAGCTCTAAATGCTGTTGACTCTACAAGGTGCAGGTAGCATTTTCAATGTGTATTCCCCCTTCCCCAGCCCCAAGATAAAGAAGCGACACGATACATGTTAGTTTCTTGGCATAAAGAAAGTGGTATCTTTGGCATTAAATCTGGATAATTTACCAGACAGCAGAAATAGATCTTGTTTTTAAGGGTGTCAGCAAGGAAGTTCGTAAGATAATACAGCCTCCACTTTTTGTTTCCAAGTATACAGAATCTGATACATAGACTTGGTTCCTGCAAACCCAAATGAGTAAATGCACGTGTGTGCACCAGAGTTTGCAGGACGAAGGCTCTAACCCAATGCACACGAGTGTGCACGTCATTTCCTGTCACACAGCTTGGGTGCTCTAAGAGAATGACGTACATGAACCAACAGCCATTTAATACAACAACAAACTGCTAGCTGACAACACAGCTAAGAAAATACAGCCCCCAAAATCCTTAGTATCAGTCTATTTGTAAAGGATGAAGTTACTTGACCAGGCAAATTCAGTGTTTGTCATGAGGTCAGTACAAGAGGTGTTAGTGTGGTGTTTAGGTCAGCTGAGAAATGCAGAAGTTGTGGTCCCAGCTAGCAAAGGTTTGAAGTGGCTGCAAACCCATTGGGTTTAACAGGGCCGTTAAGGAGGTAAATAGTGGTTGGGTTGCACAGTACCCAGCGAAATGCAGTTGTGAATGACACAGAAACTGCTAAATGCCTCTGCAGTAAGAGACTATGCAAATATAAACTCAACTTTGACAGGGTATTAAAGATGGCCCCAGCCTCAGCATCCTTCCTGCACACCCCAAGCCTCCCCTCAAGTATCACAACCTGACCATCCAAACCACCTCATGTGGACCAGGGAGTTCTGCCTTCAACATCTCTAGGCAAAAGGAGGCTGTATTTGAGTGTCAGGTTTAAGGCAGCTTTCCTGAAAAAATACCCCATCATACATGCAGGGAAACATAATAATATCAAGAATATTAAGAACAATTATTATTTTTCCTAGAAAGCAATACAAAAAGCTACACAAGCGCAATGCCAGATGGCTAACGTTGCTAGCAGGACCTGAACTTCTACATTTCCCGGCTTCCAATATGCAGCCTTAATAGTAAAATGAGTCTTTTACACTTAATTAACCGTCATTACAGGAGCTTATAAATTCACACAATGCTATATCTTTTCAGGGCCAGATCCAATTCCAGCTGATAAAGGAAGTGTGTAGTCACTGAGGCTTTCTGCTGAGCGTGTCTGGTCCTGCCTGCTCAGCCTTGCTATTGTGATGTCCACACAAAGGACTGCTGTATTAATGCAGTAAGTTTCAAATGTCAAAGTTCAGTAATTTTTCACTTTATCATTAAATTGAGTAAGAGCAAAACATGCTTGAAAATCTCTGCAGGAAGCAGAAGGCTTTCTAATTCCTTCTGAAACAATGACAATTGTTATCATGCCTTGGAAACTCTCATGGAGGAGGTTTGGAAAAAGCATGTCTATGTAGAGAGGAAGGGAATTTAAACACTGTGTTGCTGCTGTCAATATAAAGATCACTAAAGCAGCAGTTCTACCGCAAAGAGACTGTGTGTTAACAGCTATCAGTACATCTTCCAGAGACAGCCAAGGATGAAATAATAGAATTGATTATTGGGAGTGTAAACTCTGTTCTGAAATACATAATTAGAGACAAAATATACAGTGCATAGAGAGACATGGAAGCAACAGCCTATAATTAACACTGGAAATTAATATAGATCCCAGCCATTACATTCTGTAAATCTAACAAACTGATTTGTGACAAGTCATTAGAGTGACAGGGGTTTCTTAAACAGCAGTGGTGTGAATTGTGAATAGACACGCTGAGTAAGCAAAATTAACAGATGCTGGTTAAAAAAATCACATATTGCAGCAACTTCCTCAGGAGTAATGACTGGTTTAGCATGGTACATTAGGGCAAAAGTGATCAAATGTCAGTACTGGAGGATTAGCATGGAGAGGACTACGATGAGTTGTGTACTGACTGGTCATTCTGATTGGCACTTTGTTCTTCTGTGATCCCACAGGCAGCCGATGAGAATGCAACCAGCAGTGCATGTTAACACGGGGTCATGCAAAAGGAAACCACAGTACCAAACAGTATTACAAAACAATTCCTACAAGGGACACAAGTCTTCTTATTGGCTGCAATGTGGGATCGTCTGGAATCAATCCAGCTGCTACCATGGGCATTATGGCTGTAAAGATCCTGGTCAGGAAAGTACAGACACAGAAGAGGTAAGACTGGAGCAAGGCAAAGAAAAAGCATTCCATTAAAAAGAAAAGAGGCAAACATGATACACGGGGTTACTTTGAATTACCACACAGGACATGTTACAGGGAGAGGCGGATCTGCATCACCCAAGACAGCTCTCCTCAGTGAAAAACCCGTATTTAGGAAAAGCAGTCATTGTAACCATTTCAATTGCTTTTGAATTTCTAAAAGATACCACTTTTGTGTTGCGAGGCAGCCTGCAGTCTGGGTTGGGTTTCATCAATGTATTGCCACCTCTAGCAATGCAGAGCAGAGTGCGCATTGTTCTTCCCAAGAGACAAACAGGCACGAACGTAATGAGATGAAAGATGAAGGTGTATGTTAAGAATTACCAAACAGGACTCTGCTGTGACTACTGGGTATTTGCACAGAAAACAGGGTTAGGCAGGACCAGCATTACAGTTAACCATTTTACAAAGGTTACACTTGATAGTTTCCAGTTAAAAACCAGGATTGCAGGTGAAATACTGAAGTAACCTCCTATGTGAGCTACTTGGTTAAAGGGCTGTGTATCTGTTCCAAGAAGACCTGCATTATTGCATCACATGCAGAAAGATGCCAACTGCAGGCAACTAAGTACTTATTTGAAACCTTGCAGCTACCCTGGCAGAAACACTTTCTAGCTGACCACAGCAAGGCTGTTTCTTTGTCATTCAGCACTTCCACTATGCATTATACAACTCATGCAGCTTCAGGGTTGAGAGCACGCTGGGGGGGTGCTCTGCGCCCAGCCAGCCCCACACAAACCTGCCAACACACCTTCATCCATACCTGGGACACCCTCTGTTTCCTAAGGATTCTCCTCAGAGCTTCTCCCTTGTGCCAAATATTTTTTTGAACTGTGGACTAATGTCAATTAAAGATTAAGTTGCAATCACAAGAGGCATTTTGTGACCAAACGCAGCTCTCCCCCAACACAGTCACTCTTAACTTCTATTCTTACATTGGAAATGAACACAAACAAGCAAACATTGTTGTATCGTTAGCAGTAACTAGGACTTCTATTTTTACACGTGGCACGGTCTGTGAGCTGCAGAAATGACACAGGCACATCAGCTTTTGTAGACTGCAAGAACAGGAGGAAAACTTACGGCTGCTTCGGGCATTACATCAGTGACAAACAAGCATGTATACTTAAAAGGGAAAACAAAACAGCGTTTTCTGCTCAAAACGGAAGGAGCATTTTTAATCCTTGTACTCTTCCTCCTCAGTGAAGCCCCCTGGTTGCATTGTTTCATCAAAACTCTGCCGTGTGATGTGGTAGAGACAAGTGTAGAAATCAAGCAGTCTGAAATCACAGCTCAGAGTTTGCCCCACATGTTGATTTGTGTAGCTTCTGTTTTCCTTCCTTTATGGAGATGCAGCACAGAGTCACCTGAGCACCCCTTAGATGGCTCAGGCTGCATGTACATATGTCTTATTCCCCAAGATGCTGTGTGGTTAAGGAACAAGGGGCACATTACCCAGGCAAGCATAAAACTTCTCTGGAGAGGACAGCATCAGTGTTTCCTATTTTTGTACTTGAGCTTTTTGTTTAATCAGGAGGAAAAGTCTTCTCCTGGGCTCACAAGTCTTAAGCAGGGGAAAAGCAACTCTGCTTTCATTTATAAAGGCACTCTGTGTGCAGATATCAGCCCTACAGGTTTTCATTGCATCATTAGGTGTGGAGGGGATTTATGGGCTAGTGTTACCCCGGTAGTTGTATGGCAAGGGGCTAACAGCACCCAGCCTGGGAGAGGGGAGGGAGCTCAGGAGACAGCTCACAGCAGGCACAGACTGCAGGAGGAGTGTGTAACAGGACAGATGCTACACTTGGGTTCTTTGGTTTTTCCAGCAGTGAAATTTCTTGTCTTTTTAAAGCCCATGTACAAGTACAGTGTTGACAACACACACAGGGAGGAGGGAGGAGAGAAAAGAAACCCACACCAGACAAATTTTATCCAGACAGGCTGCAAGAATAAGACAAATCTAACACCAGCCTTCAGGTTACTTAAGTAGAGTTTTATCTTCCCTTATTTAATATGATGGCTAAATGAAGAGAGAGTAGACAGAGACAGAGCATCACAGCTGAAGAAAGTAATTTCATCTTAACAGCAGGCTCAGTATGTGCTTCCACTGCCTGGCAGGAAAGGACTCTTACCTTTTCTGAAAGGGACCCAACCATGATTTTATGGGTTATTGTGTGTGGGTTTAGTTCTATGCATTTAACACAGAATCTGAGAAGCAGAAAGATTGGGCAGGTGTCTGAAAACGTGCACTGACTGATGCTGAACTGGTTTGCACCAATAAGTTAACTGAGAGAAAGAAAGCACTCAGATAAATGGTTGAACACACATGCCTCCTGCCATGGCTCCCTGTGTTGCCCACACGTGTGCAGAGGGCAGAGTCAAAGCTAACACCTCCTTGGTGTGTGCTCTGCCTTACAATGTCTGTTTACATTTTTATGCTGCCTTTGCTTCGTACATCAAGCATGGAAACTGCCATCTATTCAAACTGTGTCAGCTGAAACCAGCCACCCCCCTCAATGGGATAAGCTTTAAAAAGTACTAAAATACTAGAAGAGAAGCTTTACAGTGGAAATCTCATGAAATGAAGTATTACCATTGTCACAGGCACAGGATGGAAGTCCAAACTCAAAGTGGTTTTTCTAGTCGTGTGAGAGGAAGGGTTCTCTCAACAAACACAGCAAAAATAATCAGAAGAGCCCTCCTGACTTTATGGTGTTTTGGATCAGAGCAGCTCTTCCAACGGAACTTACTCTCACAGGGCTGCTGCTATTATTAAACAAGGACGGAAGGTTCTGGACATGGGGGCAGGATGGAAGAGCTTTTTATGTGGCAACAAAGGGCTGTTCCAGAGATCATTTATGCAGTTAAAAAAGTTAACCTTCCAGTCCCACAAAAATCCAAAAACTTGCTTGCAAGGTTACAAGACTTAATTTGGAATAAATAAGCATACAAGGAGGGAGTTTCACCATATAGATGGATTGGCTATCACTGATTTTATAATTGATACAAGTAAATGCACACCTCTGACAGTAAGCTTAGGTTTTGGGCAGCAACATGAAGTACTTCAGCAGAAGAAGGTGGGGTTCTTACAGCCAAGGAAGCTGGAATCCTCTCCAGCAGCAAATCTGTTCAGCAAACAAAGGTTTTTGTACTGTACACTTAGTGCAAGTCAGGCTCTAAAGGCTTAGTTAAACAAGGAAACGGGCACAGCAAGGTTGTGAGGAAACCTTGTTCTGCAAACCCAACTGCCATGGTTCTGCCACTGGTGTTACTCGTGAACAATGCTCTTCACATGTCTTCCGAGCATGATGTGGGCTTCTGACACTCCATCACCTTAGGATCAGTGTGTTAGAGAACTGGGACTTGCACCTGAACAGGAGCATTGTGCCTGCAGTCCTTGCACAGCTGAGATCCAGCACTGACTTCAGTTTTGGGCACACACGACAGACTGAGAGGTGCTCTGGTGAAGACCACATCAGTAGCACCTCTCTTTAGAGTATGACTGTGGCCTAGACAAGATACTCTAGGAAGATCAGTGCCTATGTTTAACAGCTCATACCAGCTATAACAAAACACTGCAACACAGGCTCTTTGGGTTAGCCTGAACAGTATAACTATGAAGGAATCACTAGAACTGGGGTGGGCACAACAGCTTGGCCACAGAGACAAGCACATGGAGCACTGCCTGACTCCCCACTGCTGTCTGCACTTAGGGAGTAAAAGGTGCCACAGGAGATAACCTGAGACAAAAGTTGTCCCAGAAACAGGCAACAGTTTTGGTCAAAGCTGACTGCTGTTTGCTGATACCTGTCATGTGCTCCCTCAGTGTCTCTCCCATATACATTAGGGATGTCATTGTCTTCATTGTTAAATTCTTTAAAACTTTAAAACCCACAAGAAACACTTGTTATGTGCAGACTATTTCCAGTATCCTTAGAAAATAGGCTACTTACAGTCGTTTGATTCCAGATTCAGGCTGAGTTGAGGGTTTAGGCTGAATTATGGGTGTAGGTTGAGGGGATCTCATTTCTTCTTCTGTTTCCTCACTTGAAAGAAAGAAACAACAGTGAGTGTTCTCCTCCCAAGCCATGGAAGCACCTTAAGTTCTAAAATGAAATCTGAGATAGTGCTGTTGGTGAAAGTATGTAAAAAGATCTGTTCAAAGCTCATTGAAATCCATGGGAGATGTTTCCATCAAAAGAAGGACAGCACCTGAAACTGGGTCTCCTTTCAATATTGTCTTTCCATCTGACAAGGAGAGGGACAAGAGGAATGCATTGAATAAAAGTTCTGAAGTGTTCATTTTAGACCCATTCTTGTCCTCATTTTTGCATTCAAAAGTGTTAAATATTTGTAATCATTCTAAGGTTCAGGGGAACCTGGGAATTAGGGAAGGACATAGTTTTTCCCACTATGAGGAACCAGATTCAAACTAAAGCCATATGCTTGCAATCTCTACTTTAAGCCTTTGTAGACATACAAGCTTGTTGGACACTTTCAGAGCACATTTGTTGCTTCTAGACCTGCCCTGTGGCTCCTCTGCGTCTAGCATGCAACAGCAGAGGAGATCTAACCTACCTTTTGTAGTATAAAAGCTCCTCCTGAAGTAAAAACACTTTAGATTTCAATTCATTCCTCTCATGAAGGACATCCCGGAGCTCCTGCAAGGTGAATCTTGGACGATTGGGATCTTTTAAGTCCAATGCCATCTTCTCTGAGTCAGAGAGGCAGTCGTCATTGTTGGGTTCTGCCTAGGAAGTGAAACATGGGCTTTAAATTCACCATGCCTGAGCAGTTGGGAGTATTTATCCGTCTGGTTCCCAACTGCCTTTCAGCATTATTAAATCCTCTTTTAAGAGAAACACATCAATTTTAAGAGGAAAAATAAGGAAGGAATTAGTTTTTCCTGTGACAGACTCTCAGCAAGAAGAGCTCAGTGAGCTGAGGAGCTAAGTACTGAAATTCTTAAGCAGAGCCCATTTTTTATAAGCCTGATCCTACCCTCTTTTA